CCAAAACAACAAAAACCAAAGAAACAAAACTGGCATAGGGCTCAGCTGGAGAGCCTGGGGTGTAGTCTGGAGGTAGAAACACCTGCCTAATGTAGACGAGGTCCCTGGTTGGAGCGGAAAAGCAAGCTAACAGGAAAAATTAAGATGATTTTGATGAAAAAAATTGATTGCAATTATAGAACATTTTCTCAGATGTTTGTTTCTCGCATTTTTGTCATTTTGTCTCTTAGGAAGAAATGCTTCCAGCCAATACAGTCACACTCACATGCTCACTCTCTGACACAAATGCATACACATTCACACATTCTTACACACACATACACATTCATACACACATGGATACACAGTCACACACACATGCATACACATTCACCCACACATGCATACACAGTCACACATACTTACACACCTGCATACACATTCACACGCACATGGATACACAGTCACACACACATGCACACACAGTCACACACACATGCATACACATTCACACACACATGCATTCACAGTCACACATACTTACACACCTGCATACACATTCACACAACATGCATACACAGTCACACAAACTCACAGACGTGCATATACATTCACACTCACATGCATACACATTCATGCACACATGCATACACAGTCACACAAATGCATACACAGTCACACATACTCACACACACATGCATACACAGTCACACACACATGCATACACAGTCACACACACATGCATACACAGTCACACACACATGCATACACAGTCACACACACATGCATACACAGTCACACATACTCACACACACATGCATACACAGTCACACATACACACACATGCATACACAGTCACATATACTTACTCACATGCATACACAGTCACACACAAATGCATACACAGTCACACATACTCACACATGTATACATAGTCACTCATCACACATGCTTATACAGTCACACATATAAACATATGCATATATAGTCATACATACATACATGCAAACACACACATACATTCACATTCACACTCACATACTCACATGAATTCACATACACACATGCATACACAATCACATACACACATATACATTCATGCATTCACACACAGCAACTAACACTCACCTGCATTCCTATTCACATACACACATGCATTCCATTCACACTCGCACACACATGCATACACACTCACACATAACGACATTTTAGTTGAGGGTAGAACATGTGGACACGGTGGTCCTTTAGAATTGTGTCGCGGAGTGACACGGTAGTCCTCTTTTTTTTTAAATTTTTTTTTAAATGTTTATTTATTATATATACAATATTCTGTCTGCATGTATGCCTGAAGGCCAGAAGAGGGCACCAGACCTTATTACAGATGGTTGTGAGCCACCATGTGGTTGCTGGGAATTGAACTCAGGACCTTTGGAAGAGCAGGCAACACTCTTAACCACTGAGCCCTCTCTCCAGCCCCCACGGTAGTCCTCTTAATTTGTGTTAGTAGACTCCGTTTGTGTGCAGTGCACATTACATGTTTGCACAGGGATAGACCTGCCTACCGGTGAGTATCTTAGGACCATCCTCGTCCCAGCTATGTCTGTACACACTCAAATTTGTGTGCTTTGTATACAGAGAGAGACTTAAACAATTTGTCATGTATCAGGGCTTTCAAGGCAAACCTCTTTCTCCCAAGTGTGTGAACCACCGATGTTAAAGAGCAGAGAGAAGCAGAGACTACATCTGGAGGACAGAAAGAGAGGGTGGGGTCTATACGAGACAGGGAAGCCAGGGCTTCCAAGAGCCATCCTGCCTGGATCAGAAGCACCTGGCCTCAGCTGCTGGCATCTCCACAAACCTACTGTTCTGGCTGGGTGACCTGGGGCATGGCTTCTCTAAGCCTCAGTTTCTCAACTGTGAAATGGGATGAGAGAATCTACTTCACAGAGGCGTGGCAAGGATTAGATGAGGTCATGCCCATCGAGTATCCTGCTAATTTGATGTGCCTGTATGACTTCTGTCTCTCTGTGTGTGTGTTTGTATTTTCCTGTCCACTTTACTCCCCTTCCAGGGGTCTGCTAATGCTGTTTCTTAGTTGAATGTTTTTTCTCCACCTGCTCCAGGGCCCATTTGCACTTTTTACACCAGCGTAGGGAGTGCTGGGAGCTAGAAGACTGATTCCTGGTAGCAAGGCAGCTACCCAGCTTGGGAAGGAGAGACCAAATGAGCTCTAGGAGAGAGGTCTTAGCCTCAGAAGCTCTGGCTCTGGCCTACTTTCCTTCTGTAATTCTCGTACAGGCCAGAAGATGGGACTCTGGACCCTGAAGTCAAGGGCCAGGGCACTGCCTCCACATCTGAACTAAAGGGAAATCAGATCCCTTGCCCTGCCCTGCCCCTCTTACTGTGCTGAGACCTGTCTTATGGGGTGGCCAGGTATCAGGGACATTCTCCCTTTGGCCACCACCTTTGTTCAGGGCCAGTCTAATGCTTCGGGGTTGTCCTATCAACCATCCCACCCTCTGGCAGCTTTTCCAAGATAGGGCAGCACATCCTCCAGGAACTCCAGGACCAGCCAGGCTCATTGTCCTCAGCTCCATGGAGACACGTCCCCTGTCACATAACCAGGTTCCTTCTGTCACATACCTTTGCAGTTTCCTTCACAGTGGCTGTCATAACTTACAGAATGACCTTGTTGACTTACTAACCCTAACCTAACCCCTAAGTCCCAAGGGGGCAAACTTTTCTCATTGCTGGTTCCCCAGCACTGAACAACCAGGTCTGGGTACATGAGATCTCAGCAAAGCCATTGTAATCAACAAATGCTGATTGAATCCCTGCTTAGTGATTGCCTGATCAAGACTTTGTTTAGTTTTCCTGTGATGCTGCTTTCTCACTAGTGAAACAGAGAGGATAGAGACACCACAACTGCTGCAATGAACGACACATTTTATATCATTAGGTCCTGGTATGTAGAGGGGCTCCTGAAAACCTTTAATGGTCTGATTTCTTGTTATACAGGGAAATGAAGTCTGCACTCAGTACCCAGCGCTCCACAGTCGACAAGAGCATTTTCTAAGGCAACACTCACTTCTACTGCGCCTTTCGACAGCACTTTCTGTGTTGGCCTGGTTGTGGCTACTCTGCACGTGTTACCATGCTTAATCTTCACTCTAGACTTGAGCTGTTGGCGTGCTCTTTATTTCGGCTCAATAAGATGTGTGCTGCGCATGTCGAGGCCTGAGGACAGCTTACAAGAGCTGGTTTTCTTTTTATTTCATGTCGGTCCTGCTGATGAAACTCAGACAATAAGGTCCTGCTGGACCTCCATACATTGATGAGTAGACTGCATAGTGCACATGTGTTTGCAGTCCTCTAGATGCTCAGCATCCTTAGCGGCTGTGTGGAGTGCAGAGGCACAAATCATTGTTTGTGAGATGAGAAACTGGACAGCGGCTTTTTATAGAAGATCAGAAATAAAGGTGCATGGTGTGTGTGTGTGTGCGTGTGTTTTGCACATTCCTGTGTGACTCACATGGGGAGGCCAGAGGTCTAGGTCTCAATAGCTCTTTACTTATTTTTTTTAATGTGCACCAGTTGTTTTCCTGCGTGTGTGTCTGTGCACCACATTCATTTCTGGTGTCTGAGGAGACCAGAAGAGGTGGACCCATTCTGGGACCGCCATTGTGGATGGCTGTGAGACACCATGGGAAACCAGCCCAGGTCCTCTATGAGAGCAACAGCTTCTCTTGCTGCTGAGCCATCTCTCTAACCCTTTCCACCTTATTTGTTAAGACAGAGCCTCTCAATAGATGGAGCTCCTGGTAGATTGGTCTATACTGGTTGACTAGCAAACCCCAGAACGCACGGTTTCTATCTTCCCCAGTTCTGGGGTTACAAGCTTTTGCCACCAAACCCAGCTTTTTTCTCAGGTTCTGGGCAGGGGACTCAGGTCCTTAAATTTTCATAGGAAGCGCGTCTTAGACAGAGCCATCTCTCCAGGTATATAGTCCCTTTCCAGGGACATCAAGGCTCAGTCTTGTTTCCGGTTTTGGTTCCAGACAAGGATGGTATGCAGAAATTGTGACTTATTTGTTCATTTATTTTGAGATAGGGTGTCACCAGGAGTCTAAACTGACCTTGAACTTCTTTCGGCCTCAGCCTCCCAGACTGGACGGTAGGCCCGCACCACCACAGGGATAGAACTTGGACTTATCATATTCCTTTCTGGAGCTTTGGCAGAGGCTGCGAATGATTTGCATGGTTGCTTTGCCACCAACAGTGTGGACTCACCTCCAGCCTCAAGTGATAGTGCCTATGAGACAAAGGGCCCTTTCTCTCTCTTAAGACTCGCTCAGAGGATTAACTACTTTGCTTTCTTGTAAAACCAGATGGAATTGACTGTGTTACTCATCATTTTCCAACCTTGCCTCAGATCTGTTAGTTCTGCTGTTAGATAGTAATTTGTCTTAAAGCTTTTTTCTTATTCTTTTTTGTTATTTATGTACTTATTTTTTAAGGACAAGTTGAAATTATCCTCAGTTCAAACTCCACTGTCTGCTGTCAGGCTTAGAGGCAGGTAGACCTAAGTCTCAGCCTGTGGAGGGGCCTGCCTGCTGCCTGTCTGCGCTCTCTAACGCTCTTCAATCTGGAGTTAATAAGCCAATTAAGAAGCCCCTCTTCTCATCATTGCTTCCTCCTGCCATCTTTGTTTCTGAGAGGGATTTTCTCCTAATTTAAAAATCCATCATCCGAGGAAGAAAATCCGAATAGCTAAACCCAGCACTTTCCCAGAGTCGGTGCAATGCAAACAGAAGCAGTGGTTTTCCTTCCTAGCAGGCAGTTGAAAGGACCTCTGAGCCCAGAACCCCCAGGCCACCCTGAGGGAGAAGAGGAGGCGGTTTCCAAGGCAACCGGCCCAGGGAGGGGTTGGCTCTCTGGCGCCCTCCTGCCCTCTTCCTGGAAGTTCAGGATACTGCCAGATATCGTCCACCTGTGCTCCGCGCTCCGATTGGCTGCTCGGTCCGCTCTCTGATTGGTTGTGGCGGGCACCTCGCCGGCTGGTGGCTATGAAGGTGGCGCTGGCTGATGGTTGAGCGTTGGCTTCAGGGTTGGGGTCGCCGCATGTGCGATCCGCTCCCACGGGATCAGAGGGCGAGGACTGCTGCTGCTCAACCTGGAATCCACCGGCGAGACCGGGCTCCGCCCGGCCATGCCCGCCGGGAGCAACGAGCCGGACGGCGTCCTCAGCTATCAGGTGGGCCCCGCCTCCCGCTCCTCCCCGGCTCAGTCTGGGTCGGGTGCCCACCGCCCGGCTCCCGTTCCAGCCTGGGCTCCGGGCGTGTCCCCGAGAGCCGGGGGATGGGGGGGGGGGGGGGCGCGTGGGACGCCAGGGGGCGCTCAGGGTGGCCAGGAAGGGTGACCTTGGGCCGAACCCTGAGCCGCCGGCACCGCCGCAGCCCCCGCATCGCCTGCTGCCCGGTGTCCCGGACCAGTGACCTCTGTCCGCGGGTCCCCTTTGGCGGCAGACGCCGGCTTCTGGCCTTGCCTCGCATTGCCTTAGGTGGTCGAGAGGGTATCCGGGGACCTTCGCGGGTCTTTGTGTTTTGATTCTGGTTCCTCGGTGGCTAAGAGGAAGCCTTGCAAAGACCCTGAGAATGTAGCCAGCTTTGTGTATCGTCGCCCTGCTGTCCAGACAGCCGATAAGTTCTGAGGAAGGGATTGCACATGGACCAGGGAAGCCAGGAACGACACCACCAGCCTTAAGTAGTTGATGGTGGAACTGCAGGGGCGGTTGATATTAGGAAGCATTTGGACTAGGTAGTAAGAGTGTGTGGGTTCAAGTCCCGGTCTGTTTCTTATAGGCTTTCTCACCTTGTGCGTGCTACTTGCCTCTTTGAACCTCAGTTTCCCCATCTATTAAAATGGAAATAGTAATGTTTGTACGGTTTACTTCACAGGGCTGTTTTAAGGACTCTGTGAATCACGGTTTATTGTGTGAGCCCTAATAAGCGAGTAGTAGCTTTTTGAATTCTCACCCACCCGCCTTGTGAAACCCGGATCAGATGTGATTGCTGCCCTGGAAAGAGGATTTGAAGGAGGGAAGGGAACCGAGACGATGTTGTTGCAGAAGGGTGGTGGGTTTTGGAAACAAATGCCCGGTTGACATGGTAGTGGGGTCTGGGAAAGGCAGGGGAAACTTCCTGAGTGTTGCGACACGGGTGTGACACTCCCTACTCCTCTTCTTTCCTGGCAGTACTATTTGCTTGCCAGTCACCAAAATAAATACATGTGAGATTTTTGGGAAATCTTTCCATATCTGATCTCATGACATGCCATGTTATAGTCAGCTTCTGTTTGGGAGACAGAAGCAAAAAGAGGCCAAGGTCTTGCTCCTCCCAGCTGCTGGGAAAGGAAGAGAATTAGCTTTGTTTGTTTTGCCATTGAGAATGCTGGGGATGGACTGCCTTCTTACTTAAAGGCAGACACCCTGCTGCTGAGCCATATCCCCAGCCTGTGTTTGTGTGTGTGTGTGTGTGTGTGTGTGTGTGTGTTCGGTGGCCAGAGTTTGATAACTGGTATCTTTATCACTCTATCTTTATTTACTGAAAACATGTTCTTGCACAGAACCTGGAACCATTTTAGCTGGCCAGTGAGCCCCTGGGATCTGCTTGTCTCCCCCACCCACTCGCCCCACCCCCACCCCACCCCCAATGCTGGCTGCTTCCATGGGTGCTGGGGTCTGCGTCCAGGTCTTTATTCTGTGAGACAAGCACGTCACCCATCTTCATTTCACACAAAATACTAGGAGCCTGAGGCAGGAGGATCATGTGTTTGGGGTTCACATAGACTACATAATGAGACCCTGTCTCAAAAGATCTGCACAAGGAACTGTGTTGTTATAAAATCAGGTGCTTTGACACATCTCAGACCATCCTGTGAGTGTACATTGACGCACATCGTAGGAGATTTTTCTAAGAAGAAAATGGGCAAAGGTCTGAAGAATGACTCTCAGCTGAAGGAAAGGGGAGGTCAGAGACTTGGAAACAGAGGAGAGGATGTACAACAGTCCTGTGGCCGATAGGGGGCGCGTTCTGCAAGGACGTATGGTGGAGCCCAGGGAGCAAGGAGGAAATGGCGGGGTGTGTCCTGGGTTCCTAACAGCTAGACACCTTGGCCCCCACTGAAGAAGCTGATATGTACCTGAGGACCAAGAGCAGTCATGATGAGCTTTAGTCCTGCTCAGATTTCCTCTGTTGAAAGATTTCTCTGGCTTCTGTGGGCGATCAAGCTCGGATGTGAGCAGACCCTGTGTCTAACATGCAGAATGTGTGCGGGTTATGGCCAGTACATAGGCACCCTTAGGTTTCTGCTGATGGTCGGTGGTTTGGGTTTCTGAACAAACAATAAATATGTTCTTTACATTGAGCTATTATTATTGTGGGTCACGGAGTGGAGAGAGAAAAGGGAGGGACCAGCAGGTGCTCGTGAAGTCAGGCTTTAGACACAGGAACTTGAGAATTCGGAAGGGGAGGAGAATGGGGACTGAAAGAGAAAAGGAAGTGGGAATGGCCTGGAGGAGACATAGTCAACCAATGGGCAGTGACCTTAGTGACCAAGCCCCCTGTGTGCCCACCCGAGAGAGCTGGACCTTGCAAAGAGAGTAGATTGTGTGACTCGATGGAAGCAGAGAGGTTCCAGACATCTCATCCCCCATCCCAAGACTAGAGTTTTCTCTGGTGGACTCCAGCCCTGCCCTTTGATTCTCTTCACAGCCGGCTCCACCGTGCAGCCAGCGGGGTTTAGAAATGCCAGCCAGATCATGTCCTCACTTGACCCCTGCCAGCGGCTTCCTAGTGAATTTTAGAATAAAATCCTAACTCTGCGGTGGCTTACCAAGGTTGGACCTGACTGAAGCCTTGCCCATCGTGCCGGGAGTGCCCTTCTCTCTCACCGTGCACTCCCACTCTGGCTTGCTTTGTGTTTCTTTGGTATGACCAGCTCCCTCACAGCTCGGGAATGTGTCCTCTTTCTAGGACACTCTTCCAGCTCGGTGTCGTCATGACTCATTTGTATCTCCTGAAGAATAGCTTCCCCTGACCTCCACCCTGAGTCACACTGCTCCGTAGGATGCTCTTTGTGTTCCTCCCTAGCACACTGTGTATGAGTCTTCTTGTTTTGATGTCCTGCTGTCTTCTTGAGGAAGTTTCAGGAGGGCAGGGCGTGCAGGTGACCCTGTCTCATACATCGCCCAGTGTCCAGTTAGTGCTTGGCTGCTGGAGGGGAAGACTCGGGAGGCTGAAGTCTTTCTCTTAGGAGCTCGTGGTCTACTAACAGGATTTGCACGAAGCAGCAGATGGCTGTTAGTGGCACACTCATAAGCTCCCCGTTCTTTGGTACCTTTGCTCAGGTTAGCGAGCTGCAGAAACTTTCCCGTCTCTTCTCTGAGGAAATTCCATTCTGGCCTTCAGAGCTGGTTCCATGGAGCTCCACCAGGATTTGCCACTCGGTCTCCTCTGCCCACTCCTCCCGCCAAGCACTCCCATGTGTCCACTCTGCTCCTGCCACTTGCCCGATCTTCCCTTCGTTGCTGTGTGAGCAGGGAATGCTTTCTATGTGCCGGGCACCAAGCTGGCTGCTTTCCACGTGTTCCCCTTTCTTTAGTGACAGCGCTGAGGATTGCACCCGAGCCTCACACATGCCCGGCAAGCACTCTGTGGCTGTACTGCCCAACCTCACATCCCAGTTATCTTCCTGTCATCCTGAGAATATGCACCTGTATTGGTCCCACTGCATAAACAAAGAAATGGAGATGCAGTGAGGTGAAGGGACTTCCAGAAAGGGCAGAGCCGCTGCTCTCCCAAGGCTGTGCCCTCAACTACTGTGCGTTACCACAGCTGTTTGTCTTGCCATCTGGAGCTGCGCCTGGCCCTGAGTGAGGACCAGAAGAGCTTGGAAAGGCACACAAGGAATGAAATATATTGGAGTACAGCCGGCTGGAGTGAGGGAGGCCAGCCCGAGGCTGCTGGCATGATGCAGGCTGTGTCAACGTGGCCTGCATCATCCACCTTGCTAAGCTCTCTGAGGTGTTACTGACATTTTAGGAGTTGATGAGCCCTTACAAGTTGGGAGTAATAGAAAGCAACCAGACAGCTTAGGGAAAGCCCTACTTTGTGCTAGAACACCCGACAGCCTCTCAGTTCTGCTGAACAGCACTTTCAGAATTGACCAGAAGGAAGTGCTGGAAGGACTGGGAGGTTGGGCATCACAGCGTCCAGGTAGGTAGTGCTGGGCATCACTGGACGTCCAGGGAGCGTGGGGACAGTGGACAGAGGGCATCAGTGGGACATTCAGGAAGCGTGGAGACACTGAACAGAAGGGCATCAACGGGACGTCGAGGGAGCGTGGAAATAGTGACAAGGAAAGCAAAGAAGCCTGGCTTTTATGTGCACCAGTGCTAGAACAGTTGTACCAACTCCAAACCCCGGAGACAGACATAGGAGCAAATGGCTGTGATCCCCGCACTTGGAATGTAGAAGCAGGAGAATTAGTTCAAGGTCAAAGCTAGGGAGATGGAACAATGGATAGAGCACTTCTGGACAAGTGTGACCACTTGAGTTTGAACTGTGAGACCTGCATAAAGGTAGGAAAAGACAGACTGGACAGAGTTGTCCTCTGACCTTGATAGGTACACCATGGCAGCACATGCCTGCATACACTATACATACGTGCACACACACACACACACAGACACACACACGGTGTAATGCTTAAAAAAAGATGAATCAACAGTTAAAAACACTTGTTGCTCTTGCAGAGTACCCTAGTTCAATTCCCAGCACCCGATGGTGGCTCGTAACCATAACTCCAGTTCCAGGGGCTCTGATGCCTTCTTCTAAAACTGGGCACACAAGTAGTGCACACACACATATATGTGCAGGTAAAGCACTCATACACATAAATCTAGAAAAAAGTTCACAATTGATGTTGGCTACATAGACAGTTCAAGGCCAGCCTGGGCTGTGTGAGACTCTGGCTAAACAAACAGCCAGGAGACGGTGCCAAACCCTGGCGTGTGGGCGATGACTGAGGCATACAGCCGGCTGGAAGAGCATGCCCCTGTCTCTTACGGTAGACCGGGAACAAACACGCAGGACAAGAGTTCCCGAAGGAGCTGTGGCTTCTAGTGTCCATTGACTTTGGCACAGGAACACAGAACCTGTTTGCTGAACAAATGAACGAGCGGCTCCAGGGAGA